GATTTGTTTGCACCTAATGCAACCTGTCAGGGCAAATCCGGCCAGGGGGCGTCCCGCATAATGCGCAGAAACGCAAGGAAATTCACCTCAGCGCAGCTTGTCAGTGGTTGAAAGAAGTAACACCATGCATGCCATGTTCTACTTGTACTTGGCTATGACCCAATGAAAAATACAATGCTGGACTGTACTGTGCTGGGACATGTAGTATCCTTGTTTTGAACTACAGCTCGCCTGAGCAGCTCACAATCGTGACTGAATCATGCGGCAGCGCAGCAAAACAGAACCACCACCGACGGCAGAGGTTTGGGAGCGGCAGCAAACAGGTTGGATTCTGGAGATGGGGTCTACCTAGTCCAAGTTACTCATGATTTATATATCCTGTAACCCCTATATATATATATACATATACACCCACTATGGTAACTTAATGTACGGCTAGAGCTTTCTGACCGTTTCGGCCCATCGTTCAAGACCACATTACGACCACCTTCTTGAGAGCTGCTCTAACACGAGGCTCTGAATGACACTACGTAGGGGTCTGAATAATTGCCCTCATCATTCAGTGCGCGATTTCTGGTTTCCTGTGCCACACTTTTGCAAGGGATCTAGGGCCATGATATGGCATTTTCCCAAAACAGGGGGACCCCACCATAGACCCCAAAGTACTACAATCCTTATTATGGGGACCCCCAGAGAGGTACCCATAATTTTGGGAAACCCTAATATTCGTAATTTTCCAAGCTTCTACATTAGAGACATGCCTAATGCTCAGCCCACCAGAGGGTCATGCAAAACTCAAAGCCGCTAGCGAGAAACTCGTGAACTCTGCCTGAACCCCGAGAGATGCCCAGGTTATATACGGATTACATCGGGGTTATATTGGGATTGTATTGGGATAACGCAAAAAATATGGAAACTACTATTTAGGGTGTTATGGCCCAGCACCCCTCAAAATAGTCTCAAGGGCATTATTCTACATGCTTTGAACAGTGCTCTGAATCTTCACTCGCAACGGCAAGGAAAGGCCGACAGATCCAGAGCATTATGCTTGGTCAAGTGCAGGAGCCCGAAGGGTCCAAGGACCCAAGTAATGGGGTTTTAAGGCCCAAATACTCTACTGTTAAATACTGTTAATAGTATTTGGGCCCTGAAACCCTAATATATGGGTCCTTGGACCCTTAACCCTAAACCCTAAATTGCAGTTTCCATTTTATTGCCCATTATATAACCCCATTATTTGGGTCCTTGGACCCTTGGGGGAGGTAGAGTTGAGTATTCGGGATGTCTTCCTTTACGGTTTAGGGTTCCGGGTGTGTAGTGTCATCTGGGCAGTTTCCAAAATTAGCTTCCCACTTGGTAATCACCTTTCAATACTAGGTGCCGTAATATAATCCATGACCAAAAGGGGCCCATAATTTTGAGAACCGTCTATCTAGGTAAGAATATTCGAAAATGGGTTCCAGACTTTCTAAGCACCAAGCTGCAGCTTCCACGTTGTCATGCCTCACCCCATACCCTACCTAGATCCTACAAGTCTACCTTTTTAGCGTTACGTCATCTGTTTTGTGGTATACATCATCACCGAACTGAATGGTCATCACTAAGCTGAAGGGTTCAACAAGATCCAGCTGTGACAAAGCCGAGCCCAAAATGCCTTTTGGTCTCCTCAAAGGGAAATTCAGGTTAAGCGTTTAGGGTAGACCTGCATGACAAGAGCAATAAATTATTGAAGGAATCTCCCCATCGGCCCGAGGTCAACTTGTTCAGCTTGTTGCAATACATAGGGGCTCCCATGTAGTTCCTTTTTGGGTTTGTTATGTTTTCTTGGTAGCAGGTTACAATATACCAGCCAAAAAGACAAACTACTTCAGAGGTTCCGGGTAAAGCCAAGGATCTTCTACTGCGATCCTGTTGCAGCTTTCAGTCAGTAGTGTTGCAGACTCGGATATTTCTTGCTGAGCTATAGTCCCCTTAAGTAAATAGAATATGTTATATGGCTCAGAAACCCTAAAAGCGCTAAACCCTGTAAACCCTAAACCCTCCAAACTGAACCCTTTTACTCCCGCTGCACCTGCTCGACACCAGTAGGGAGATCGTTCGAATTCTCAACGGCTGATCCTGGTGTGAGCTAGGCTAGGATCAATTTCCGGGAGCTTACCTGAACCCATAGGGTTTAGGGTTTTGTTGACTGTGTCTACTGAGTCTACTGATGCTGGGCCATCATTTTACAAACTTTTGGCTGCCAGGTAGTAAGTACCCCTGGCTAGTAGGTACAACCTGTAAAGCTGTAGGCAGTTGAGGTTAAGGGGGAGCTACTGCGCATGTGTATCTGCAAAACTCTAGTGCTCGGTTATGTACTGGGGACATATGAGGACCACAATTCTGGCACCGGCGGCAGAACTGTTCAATGAACTTAGAACCCAGCAAGAAACGCAAACCAAGCCTATGGCATTGTTTTCTTGGTGTCCATGGGTGTCGGAGGTAACAGGACACTATGGGCTCTCGGAGCTCTGATAGCGTTGAGCATAAAAGTAGCATTTGCTCCAGCAAGACTGCTACCGGCAACACCTACCAGACTGCCATTACGAAAAGGTAAGAGGACATGGCTCATGGGTTCCCTTACTACCCCCTGGGTTCCTTCTTTAATTAACCTTAGTTAGGCCAAATTACCCCTAACTAATCTTAATTCTGGGGGGAACCTAAGGGGGGAGGTAGTAAGCGGGGGGGGGAGCGGGGGGAGGATGGGGTCGGGGAACCTAAAATGGCGGACTCAGCAGCATCATGCAAGCTTCTGTTGCCGTCGACGCTTTGACTACAAATTATGTGCGTCAGTACAAAAAATGAGGGTTTAGGGTTTAGGGTTTAGGGGCATGAACAATAACCCCTATGGGCGGTATGATAACCCCCATCATCCCCATTATAAACCTACGACCCGCAAGTATGCCACAGCGCCACCATGCAGCCAAGGTACGGCAGAAGCCCATTAGCTTCCTTTGCTGCACTTTGCTTTCACGCAAAAAACCCTGAACAATTTTGTAGCCATGTTTTTTTGGTTGTTGGACGAAGTAAAATTAGTTTCCTGATATACCACACTATGCCCAAATCTAGGGCATACTCTTACGCTATGTGGGGGACCACTGCATCCCAAATAAAATATCCCATAACGATGTAACACCTACATAATCCCAGTTTCCATGTCATGTTCCCTTTTCGTTTGCATTTGATTCTCCTTCATCGGGGGTAGTACCCGTATATGATCCCTATATAAGCCCGAAACCCTAAACCCGTATGTAAGATCCCCAGATAGAACACTCCTCAACTGAAGTGCTGGTGCGTACCCGCACAGCACAATAAGTGCTTACAGCTGAGTAGCGCGCCCACCCAGTAGCAGTCTACCATAGGTGTTAAGTTAAGCGCTTCGTTAAGTTCACATTAATTGCCCACATGCCAGAGGTCAAAAAGAAGTGGGCATTGGCCAAAGTATGGAATTGGCTAATGACGGCTAATGCCCACCATTTCTTGGCCAAGGCCCACTATTTTGGCCAATGCCGACTAAATCAATTAATCTTCAAACTAGAATGCGATTAAGAAAGGTTGAGGATTCAGGGTTTAGGGTTTAAGGTATCCTTAAACCCTGGTGTTCCAGAAAATTCCCTAGCCCAGGCTCCTCAAATTGCTTCCTTGTAGACTACAGACTGAGTAATTTGTAGACTTGGAGCCATAGCCCTCAACCCTACCCAGCGGCTCCTGGGTAGCTCCTTTTGGTGTCTGTTATGCTTTTTGGTAAGGGGTAATAACTTACCACCCTAAACCCTAACCCGTTCTGCGTAAACCTGTAGACAGCCTCAGAGCTCTGCAAAAGAGCTTCTGGGATTGCTCCGTATCAAGGACGCAGCACCCGGCGATCATGGCCCTGACGCCAGCAAAGTTCAGCCTGAGAAAGTGCATCGCATGTAAGGTTTGGGGTTCTTGCGGTTTAAGGTTTGCAGTTTGGGGGGGTTAGGGCCCTGTCAGAACAATACTGCTATGCTGGGGCATCTTGGGAATGGTCAAAGACAAAGCTACGCTGCTGTGCTTGGTAGCCCAGTAATCATATTACAATAAGGGTACCCTTTTTCCTGGTTTGTATTATATATGGGAACCCAGAACCCAAACAGGGTAAAAGGGAACTACTGGGGCTCCTAGTGTGGCTTCAGCCTGCGGAGTTTACAGCTTTGAGCAGTCCCCTTCAGCCTAAACGCTTGTATTGGCAACCTTCAACTGGTCATGGAGCACATCATGGATGCCACCACTTTTTTTGAAATAATTGCATGCAGACCGGGAATTCCATCAGTCACGGTTCCTCAGGTAGATTTACTGCATCAGGCCCGCCCTCCCACTTGTGTTTGGCCACCTGTTCGGCAGCAACAAAGCTCTCTTGAGGACGTCCAAAGAACATTGCCACGTCAGCGCTGCCGTCCAGCATCCAATACCTTGCGCAATTGGCCAAGGCCGACATGAGCCCGAAACCTTGAAAGAAGAAGAACTTTCCCCGAGCCTTTGGAAAGCGTCGCTGCATATGAGGCGGTCTCATCAAGACTTCATAAGTAGTCACATTCACCAGCATGTATGCCGTGTGCCGGAGAACCAGAAGGCCCACAAAATACACCCAAACCAGGTCAAACACGGCTGTAATGAGAACTACCAGTGGCTGTAGCTCAGGTGCAAGGGATCCACTGGTCATGGCTTGCAGAAGCTCGCTGAATGAACCATGCGAAATCTCTGGAAACACGGTATCAAACACATACAAGAAGACCGTGTAGTAGAAATAGAGGATGGTGGTGAATAGGACCAGGACAAACATGTAAAATGATCTCTGATTGCCCAAACCAACGCAATTATCAATCCAAGGACAGTGGTGGTCCATCTTATCAACGCAGCGACCAATCTCCTTGCAGTGGTGCGATCGCATCGCGCGCCGTGCACGACAAACGATGCAGACATGCTTGAACTCTCCTTTCTCCACCAAAGAAAGGTATTCGCCACACCCTTCTGCAAGGAGCTGCTCCACTCGCGCACGGCCCAGGTTTTCTCCAGCGGACCGCTCACGCTCATGAAGAGTCTCCGTGGCACGATCCAATTGAGCCTGCTGAGGTGCAATGTGCTCCTTGTACCCTGGAGCAATGAGCGGCTGCAATTCGCCCTTAGCCGGGCTTCGAGGATCGCCCATGCCACAACGTCGTTCAAGCTGTTTCCTCGCTTCTCGCAAGACTTGCCTCTGATAATTGTACATGTTCTGCTGCAGCTCGAGCTTGATGACTTCTGAATCCTTACCATTGCATGTCAATGTCAGCTGCTGCAAGACACTATCACAATGAGCCATCTGTGACTCGATTGGTTGCTCAACATCAAACGTCTTCTCTGGGTCATTGCCCAGGAGGTGATGCTGTGGGTGTATGGTAGGCGGCCGCAAACAACCGGGGTCAGAAAAGCAGCACTGAACCCAAAGGAGCAGTGACAGTCCCATAAGTACGGACCAGTGCATCACTGCCTCCGGATTTCTAGCCGCAATACCTGGAGCTACGATAAAGGCAAACACCATAATGTTGAAGGCAATGAAGCACATGAACAGATTTGCGAAAGAATTGCGGAACACATACGGCCTGCCCAACAGATAGTTCAACACCTGCGACTTGTGGAAGGACGCCACCAGGTACCTGTTCTTCTTCCGCATGGCAAACTCAATTGGAGTAATCCCGTTACGGTCCGGGACGTCCAGAAGCTTTACAGCCCCGACCTCCATGAGCATGTCTGCAATGAGTTCGTGGCCCTTCATGGCTGCCCAGTGGATTGCTGTCATGCCGTCACGGTCTCGGTGGACGATGCTTGCAGATCGGGAGAGCAACCACTGCACCGTCTTCTTGTTCCCGTTGTAGCATGCCCAGTGAAGAGCAGTTCGGCCATCGTCATCCTGCTCTTCTGTGCTGACCCCCTGCAGATACATCCATTCCATGACAGGAGAGTTATCTTGCTTCGCAGCCACGATGAAAGGGGTGTACCCATCCTTATCATGCAGCGAGAGTAGAGCTCGATTGGCCCGTGTCATTGCATCCAGGCCAGCTACGTGGGAAGACATCGCGGCAAAATGCACTGGAGACTCACCGGAGTAATTGACAATGTCGGGACGTGCGCGCTTTTCTAGCACTGGGCTGATCAGGGTGTCTAGCCTGAAAAATGCAATCCAGTGTAGAGCGGTGTTGCCGAGAGAGTCCTGGCCATCCACTCTGTAGCCTTGAGCAAGCATCTCCATCACTGCCTCAGTGCTTTGCTGTGCTGCGGCATCTGCCACAGTTGCGTATCTACCGCTGCTGCTGCAAGGCGTTGCATTGGATCCATAGCTCGACATGCTGAGCTAGCCACAGTTGTCCCAAATGTGTTGCCAGCGCTGTTGCTTTGCCAAAGCGCTGTTGGGGTACTAAGCTACCCAAGACATGTAGGCAGGACAATGTATGAACAACCACTGACAGAACTGACAGGAGCCCCTTGATCCATTCAGGCTTCAAGTGCACCTCACATGCCATCACTTACTTTGGAAGCTGCAGCCGTTTAAGCTCACCAAAAAGCTTCGTGGTCGTAGGTTCCAGGCTCTGGCTTCAGAAGCCGGACCCAGGTTGCTTGAGGGTAACAGAGACATGCATGATGAAGTTTGGGCGTCCCAGGGCTCAGGGCCTATACCTGACTGTCTGCCTGTGACTGAGCATGTCTCAAGTCAAGGCCAAGGGCATTTTGTTTGGGGGGTTCTTTCACTAGAGCTAGTGCTCGGAATACTTGAGTATTGTTGAAGTGGCTCCTCCCGATATGGTCAACATAGCCGGATCTTTTTATCTCATCATAGGAGGCCGCGGAAACAAGAGGGACCCGTGATCTGTTGAAAATCTCATCTTGGCCGCGATAGCGGATGTACGATATTTGCTGCTATACCCGAAAATTTACAAAACTTAAGGGACCTTAAGTGGTGCAAGATTCCCGCCATCCACCATATCAGCATTCGAGGAGCATGCATGTGCCGCTCTGGTCTGCTTGGAGGAAAAGAGCGCGAAATTCCGCAGCCTCCTGCCCAGAATGCTGAGATGTGAAACGATGCGGAAGTTTATCAGGAGAGGCTTAAGGATCAGGAATTGTTGGAATTCTTGGGCATTTTGAAGAAGCGCGCGCAGCAAACAGCAAGTTTACAGAAAACTACCCTGATCTGGCGTCAGCTTTTTGAATAACGCTTGGCGTCTCTACCAACCTGTTGCTTTGGATTCTTGAAGATTGCAGAGCCTGCGATAAACACAGCACTTGGGCAACCCCGACCGCCAAAACTTCGGAACCTATTATCTAGGGTTTGTGTATCTGCGGCAGCTTTTTGTTGGATCCATCTTGTTACATAGCAGACGTTCACTCCGATATCTTCCGCCCTCCGCAGTGGCACTTCCCACTTCGGGTTGTATCGTCCCTTGCAGAGCAGCTCTCAATGTTATGGCGGGGCAATGCAGGTCTCGGCGTATTTTTTGCCTTAATCGCACCTGAGGAAAGGAGACCTGTGTGGGTCTCGCAGCATGTTCCCAATCTGCGCCTTGGACGACCGGTGTCGTGCTGACAGCGGTGTACTGTTGAAGTAAAGGTGCAATTTGTGTAAGGCACGTCGAATAGACTTGAATAATACTGGTAAAATATTCAGGCCTTACATTACAGAGAAGTCACGTCCTTGATGTGGTGACGTTCCGCAGATAATTCCGTAATTACCTTGCAAAGAAGATGAAGACGGCATCACACGGACCCCAGAAACGGACCAATGATTTTGACAGTTGCCCATACTGCATGTTGGGGTTTGTGGGACTTGAACAAGCACACAAACACAAGGATCCCAGAAAGAGGGTTTACAGATTCCCTCAATGTACTGTTGTTGGACAAGACCTGCAATGGCCTGCATACCTCAACCCTGCCAGTTACAGTGGTATACTATACACCCCAATATGATCCCTATATAATCCCTATAATTCCTATAGTTTCCATTTCTTTTCCATTATCCCTATATAACCCCAATATGATCACTATACTTGGAATGATGCAGGATTTTGCCCGTCGCATTACCACTACCTTTACGTGCTCTGCAAGACTTAGTCCACATTACCCTAGGAACAAAAAAGGATCCTGTTTACATAAACATGGTAGTTTCCCAAAATAAGGGGACCCCAATATAGACCCCCAAATCCTATAATCCTTATTATGGCGACCCCCAAAATGGTACCCCTAATTTTGGGAAACCCCCATATAAGGCCCCATACCCCAAAAGGTATAAAGGATCCCTAACATTGATCCAGGAGACCTCTACATAATATCTGGAGCATTGCGAGCCTTTGTAGTAAACCGTAGATCGACCAAGCTCTTGTTGTAGGACTCGAACTTGTGCTCCTGAGGTGGGGGGTATGATTCTTACACAAGCACACCGGGCTCTGGAGAAAACACTTGGCTGGATATGGGTGGCAGGGAGGGTACCGCTTGAAATGCACAACGCACGAGGGCAGGATTGTATAGAGCTAGAACAAAAGCGTCCGATATCGTAACGGCGACGCGGCAGATCGTCTGTGGCAAACAAGGTTAACGTGAACTACAAAGCTGTTGTGGCTAGTGCGACCCAAGCTTCTTAGCAATTTCATCTTGACTAGCCTACACTCGAACATGCCCACTGCCACGCTGCAAATGTTGCAATGGTTGCCACGGTTTTCTGTTGCTGCTCTTGTTCTTGCTGCGGTTCTGGTCTCCGATATGACGGCTACCAAGAAGAGATGCCTCCTTCTCCTGCCTAATATGTCTTAGCAGTCAAGAGTCAGAATCGTTAATGCGACTCGCTCCCCAAGTGTATATACCTCCAAGTCCTTGACCTTAGCTCTTGAAACCCAAAGCCCTAAAGAACTCACTGGGACATTTTGCAAAGGCAGGATGCCCCCTATACGCATAGCATTGTTGGCACCGATAAGAAATGGCTTCAGAGAGCCCGCCTGAACAAAAACCTTGAATCAAAAACCTTCAGCCCAAGTCCTGAAACATGTTTTTTTCTTTAATATAGTAGTTTCCATTTTCTTTTCCATTATCCCCATATAGCCCCAATATATACCATATAATCCCTATATAACCCATTATAGTAGTTTCCATTTTATTTTCCATTATCCCCATATGGCCCTAATATTTTTTCTTTAATGGTGGCTCCTCCTCGTGGTCACTGATCTTTCTGATCATGCCTTTGGAAGCTTCAGGTCAGTATGTCGGGAGTTTGGAGCCCCCGTAAGTGGCCCGAGGATATCGGGTTACTACGACGAAAGAACGTATACTAAGTTAGAAGTCTAAGGGAACGACGTTTTTGCGATGTCGCCATGTCATGATACTTACTTCAGCTTTTTAACAGCAGCCCGCTGTAGGGGGCCAGGGAATCAAAGTTTAGGTTCCGCAGAGTGGAATGTAACTACTTGGGCAGGTCAGGCAGACTTTGTAGGTGGGTTGGTATTGGGGGAGTAACTGGGTTGTCATCTGTCAGACAGAGGTTGAAAGCGTGCTTACTAAAGTAGAGCTCATAGTGAACCTTCGGGCTGTAGGTCAATGTTTTCCACAACATGTAACTAGCAGCCACTACTCTGAATACAAGTACGCACCAGTACGTTCAACAAACCGTATGATGGAACTCAGAAGAGGTGGAAACAAGAAGCCCTCTGAACAGTATCTTCAAGTCACTTCTTGGCCCTTTCATGAAAGTGGAAAAGCAACTGAAGGCCTCACACATAGCCCAACACAGCTGCATCACAAGTCCTGGCCAGGTCCCTCTGTGTGTATATCCAATTCTAGCAAACCCGCCTCCTTAAACTCAGTAACATTAAAACTAGTAATCATACTTCTAGTAATAATGCAGTTATTCATAAGACGACTATTAACAACAATAACAATAATACTAAAAATGATAATATTAATAATAATAGCCCTTATTCTTATGGTCATGGTGAAGATCTGAAAAATGCCACAACTTTACGCCCAAACCGTGAAGCCCCACAATCCAAACACCAAGACCTCCCGGCCTATAGGCCCAAAGCCCAAATCAGACTACAATAGATTCCATTTTTTCTTTATCCCAATAAATCCCCTATATAATGCCTATATGATATAATAGTTTCCATTTTCTTTTCCATTATCCTTAAACATCCCCTATAAAACCCCTATACGATATAGTAGTTTCCAAGTTCTTTTCCATTATTTCCTATATGCTAGCAGGCCAAGATGCGAACAAATTCCGGAAAGTCCAACGAGTCGCTTTTGTCCGTCTTAGGTGTCATCGCATGTGGCTCTCGATCCCTCACACTTCAATGAAGGGCCTGGGGACATTGATGCAACGGTCTGGCTACTGCAATTTACTAGCTGATGCCGGTGGTGCAAGAGTCTGCTGGCTTTGACAGCACAATTGCTGGCAGCAAGCCCCTGTCATGCTTGAGAGATTGAGGTACTGCAGGATGGAAGAATAGATGCTGACACACACCAAGCTGCATCCGCATAGCCCAGCAGCTGCATGAAGTATGGGCGGAACTCGGGCAGACTTGCATGCCTGCATGCTGGGGATTGTCAACTCTGTGTTCAGAGTTCTTCCGAGGTTTGAGTGGAATGTAAAATTGTAAGCCCCTAAACCCTCAACCAATGAAATCAGTTTTACAACCTCTTTGAGGATTTAAGCCTCCACTCTTGGGGAGGAGAATCCTGCCGCATTGTTGATCAGAAGGTCATGAGTAGACAGCGGGGATCACGATTCCTCTACCTACCGCCACTAACTGGGTTTTTGCACAATACATACAATTCTCATTGAGCCCCACTTGAGCCCTTAAAAGAAGACAAAATGATGGCCCACAACCCATTGGTGGAACCAACCAGGCCATTCTTCTGGTACCAGGTAGCTATTGTTTACAGACGTGAGGGGCCCATGTAGGTATTACTTCCGGGCTTGGATTCCTATTGTAACTTCGGAATTTGGTAGCTTCCCAACAAATAGGAGGAGCCAATATAGACCCCCAAATACTATCGCCCGAACTAAGGGGCCCCCAAAAAGGTACTTGGAGGCCCATGGGACTTAGTACTACCCCAAACCGAAAATCTGATATGCCGCTATACAACCACTATAAACCCGTTGGGTAACCCGACGTGGGTAGATGCTCCACTGTCAACGCCTGGGGAAAAGCTCTTCGATGAGCTGCACCAGCTCCGATTTCCGCCTTAAAGGCCAGAATTGGGGCTTGGGGTTACCTTTGAAGGGGTTGTGGGGAATACAAAGGGTCATAGAGGGATATATAGAGGTGTATAAGGGTTGCAGTACGCACTACCAAGGGGAGG